TGCTGGTAAATACTACCAACTATTTAAGGGAGAAATAACACGAATTGTACATAAACTTTCAGAAAATAGATGACGAGGGAATACTTCTCAGCTTGTTTTCTGAAGCCAGCTAACCCTAATACCAAAGCCTGACAATGATGTTATAAAAATATAAAACTACAGATGAATATCCCTCATTGAACACAGACCTAAAAATCTTTTTAAAAAATTAACGAATTGAGGGGCACCTGGGTGGCTCATTCCGTTAAATGCCTACTTTTGGCTCAGGTCATGATCCCAGGGTCTTTGGATGGAGTGGGCTCCCTGCTCAGCGGGGAGTCTGCTTCTCCCTCTCTCCTCCCCCCCACCTTGTGTTCTCTCTGTGTCTTTGTTTTCTCTCAAATACATAATATCTTTAAAAAAAATAAAATAAAAAACTAACGAAATGAACCCAAATTATACATAATAATGAAGTGGGAGTTTATTTCAAGAATGCAAGGTTGATTTAACATTGTAAAATTAACCAATATAATCAGCCATTACAATAAAATAATGAAAAAAACCCCCATATAATCATTTCAATAGATATAGAGCAAATATCTTATATATACTACATTCATTCAAATTATTGTTCCCCATAGCTAATTGTGTCATTTCTCTCTGGCTAATTTGCTTTCAAGACTTTTTTCTTTGTCCTTCCTTTTCATTACTTTGATTTTGATGTGTCTAGGTATGGATTTCTTAGAATTTATCTTGCTTGGGTTCACTCAACTTCTTAAATCTCTAAGTTTATATCTTTCAACCAAATCTTAGAAGTTTTGAGCCATTATTTCTTCAATTTTTTCAGCACCGCAATCCTTTTCCTCCCCTACTGACATGGGTGACGTGTACGTTAGATCTTCTTTCATTGTCCCACAGGTCCTGAAGACTCAATTTCAGTTAGTTTTCAATCTTTTTTCTTGGTTGTTCAGATTGGATCTCTATCTTCAAATTCACCAATTCTTTCCTCTCTTATCTCCAATTTGCCACTGAGCCAATCCAGTGAATCTTTTATGTCAGTTATTGTATTTTCCTGTTCTAAAATTTTCATTTGGCCCTTCTTTATATCTTCTACTTCTTTGCTGAGATTTTTTATTTTTCATTTGTTTCCAGAGTTTGTTATTGCTAAGTCATTTTCAAAACAGTAGCTTTAAAATCCTTGTCTAATAATTCTATACTCTGTGTCATCTTGGCGGTGGCATCTTTTCTCATTAGATAGTCTTTTCTCATTAGAGTTGAGATTTATTGGTTCTTGCTATAATGACTGATTTGGGACTGTATCCTGAACATTTTGAGTATTTAAGAATCTGGTTCCTATTTAAATCTTCTATTCTAGCAAGAAGTCAACATATTTAAATTCAGAACACATGTCCTATTACATTAATTGAACACTGTGTGTCAGCTATACTTCAATTTAAAAAAATAAAACAAAATAAAACGAAAGTAAAAATGATTTAAAAAAAAAGAAGAAAGAAGCAGAACACATGTCCTGGATCAGGTTTGTGGATTGTGGTTCAAATATCAATATAGTTTAAATGATTCTGCAATGCTATTCTGATCTGCCCCCCTCAGATGACAAAACTCCATGCTATCATCTCCACAGTGCTGGCTAGGGAGAAGGAGGGTACCAACTCATTACTATAGGACAAGAGTGGAAGATAAGGTTCTACTCACTGACCCAGTTGGGGATATACACTGCCTAGTTAATGCAGGGGTGGGAGGGAGGAGTTAGAGCTCCATCTACAGTCTCCAAAGGGGAGGGATACTATTTCCTTCCTGATACTGCAGGGCAGGGGTAGAAGTAAGAGTTTACCTTTAGGCTCCAAGGGAGACAGGCACCACTGACTCCTGAGAGGGGCAGGGGTGATGACAGAAGTCAGACTTTTACCTAAAGGCTCCAGGGAAAAGGAATGATAACTCATTACTGCAGGAGAAGACAACAGATAGGTTTCCACCCCACTGGCTCCACTCCTGCAGTGCCAACTGGGGCTGGGAAAGGGTATAGTTTTATTCATGGTGTGTTTCCAGAATAGGCAGGATTGGTCAAAACATTTCTCTATAGCTGAAATGCCCTTTTCCTAGTTCTTTGGCTACAGAGAGCAGGCTTTTCTTGGAGATTTTCTTTCTGTCTGTGCTCATTATAGTTTCCAGTTTGCAAGGCACCCAGGCCAGGATATACACAGGAAGCAAGAAAAATCCCAGGGAACTCACTGCCATGTAGTTCCTCAAATCCCAAGATCCCTGGTCAGAACCATCTTTTCTCACTTTTGAGAGTCTTCTGGTAGGTGACTTAAATATTTTGTCCAGGGGCGCCTGGGTGGCTCAGTTGATTAAGCATCTGACTTCGGCTAGGGTAACGATCTCAGGGTCCTGGGATCAAGCCCTGCGTTGGCTTCCAGGTCAGCGGGGAGTCTGCTTCTTCCTCTCCCTCTGCCCCTCCTCCCGCTCATGCTCTTTCTCTCTCAAATAAATAAAATCTTTTATAAATATACACATATATACATGTATTTTGTCCAGGAATTTTTGTTGTGATTAGTGGAAGTAATAAAGTGAAATATGTTTACTCCATCTTGTTCAGAATCAGTATCTGCAATCCGATTTTAAATGCATCAAAAAAATAAGATGCATTAAAGAGTGGAAGGCTGGAAAGACGGCTATGTGTAAATCATGATTCAAGTATATTAAAATGTTAATGGAAGAATCTAGGTGGAAGTGTATGGGTGTAATCTGTAAAATCTTTTCAACTTTGCTATATGTTCAAAAATTTCCGTAATAAAATGTTGGGAGGAAGACTCTTTTGGCCAAATACGAAATGCAGGTGATTAAAAAAAATCCGTAACATGCAAAAGGAAGAAAAGAATTCCTCTGCTGAGTGAAAAAGAGGTACTGGAGATTTGAACTGATCAGTAAATTATCAGATTAGCTGGAGCGAGAGGCTATCAGATGAGAACAGTTCTTTGTAAAAGCTCTAGCCAGCTGAATGCTACTTTTTGTCTTTAATAGCTTATTTTGTCCACAGCCTGGTCCTTTGGCCTTGCCAGTTTTGCATCCCTAGGAGTAATTCCATCAGAGTTAACAAGCATAGCGCAGTTGAGCAGATGAAGCGCTTAGAGGATGGTTAATACTGGGGAGGGACTAAATTCATTACTTGAAATGAAAATAAAAGAGAGGGGGCTCGCTCTCAAAAATAAATCTTTATTTTTGAAAAAACAACCTACTCAACACAGAGAATAAATGTGGGGTTCCGATTTGGGGGGAATTTGGGACACAGTCATGCCATTGATCCCTTTGAGTTAATTCTGGTTGACTTTTTTGTTTAAGACACAAAGTGACCACCTCCACACTATAAAAGGTCTCAGGAGAGCGCCTGGGGGGTCAGTCAATTAAGCGTCTGCCTTTGGCTCAGGTCATGATCCTGGGGTCCTGGGATTGAGTCCCACATCGGGCTTCCTGCTCAGCAAGGAGTCGGCTTCTCCTTCTGCCCCTCCCCCGACTCGTGCTCTCTTACGCTCTCTTTCTCACAAAGATAAATAAATCAAAAATCTTTAAAAAAATAAAATAAAAGGTCTCAGGAACACAGAGCCGTCTAGGGCACTGATTCTCTTCATTTTTCCCACTTATATAAATGGAACACTTGACATATTGCACATAGTAGGGAAAACACATAGGCATTGGGATAGAACAGACTTCAATCTGAATCCTGGCTCTGTTTTCTACTAACTAAATGACACTGGCTCAATGTCTCTGTAGTTCTCTGCATCTCAATATCCCATCTGTAAAACAGAAATAATGAATGCTGATATATAAGGGTTAAATTAAATGATGAATATAGAATGCTCTCTTGCCTATCTAGAAACTTATTTAGGCACATATTTTCTTCATCCTGCGGAGGATAAAATGAAAAGAACAAGACATTCTATTCTTTTCACACACTGATGAAAATTAATCAAGAACCTTGGATGAGTGAAGCAGATAACTGTCCAACGGTCTCTGACATTTTGTCAGGATGGCTCAGACAATACCTGCCTCTTGAATGATAACCTGGCTGTTCTGTCGGCTCATTTATTCTGTATCTAGGCTCTCCTGGGCCAAGGCAAGACTGCTAGCTAAGCAGTAAGCTCAGTGAGTCTGTAGCAGTCCTGGAGAGTCCATGGGACTCCCCTAGGTTTTCTTCTAGAAGGCGTAAGCCTGACCAGAATTTTCAACATAACACTATGAAACCTTATGAACAAAAGCTTCTCCCCAGTGGGTGAAATATAAGTTCTATAATATTTTTTTAAATAGCTATCTTAAATTTTATTTTAGAATTATATTCTAAATGCCTGAATATGTTGTTTGATAAAATGTTTAAGACTTTTTTTGCCTGTTACTAAATAACAATGAATACAGAGACTCACATATGTAGTGATTCAACATTTACTTTGTGTCTTTCATTCACACCTTTTTTGATCTTTCCAGTGCCACATGCCTCTTTTAATCTAACAGTTATGCCCCCAATTTATGCAGTTGGCTCCATATAAAAACCAGACTAAGGCACTTTTTTACTATTCACACAATCAGTCCAAAACCTTTCATTCTGGCCTGCTTTATGCTCCACTTCCTGACATTCTCATTCACCCTGTTCTCATCCCTATGACGACTTTATTTATAGGCTCATTTCACAACTTGGAATCTGTCAGTTGCCTTCTTCTCTGGCTCTGATTTCTGGCTTCCCTCCTTAACTGCGATTAGTATTTGCCCTACTGACTATACTCCTTTAAGTCATGGTAGACAAATATTTTGCCAGGCCCAATTGCTGGGTGCAGGCCCTAGCAGCCAATGCTTCCACACTGGTTCACACACCAGTCTAAACACCTATACCCTAAACTTTCAATTCATTCATGTTTAAGGACCATAAAAGAGAATTTCCAGAGCTAACAAACAGAGCAGTCAGTTTCCTCCTATTCCTCCTGCTACTAATAATTGCAGGCATTCTCCTTTACCTCTGCCTTTGGCTCAGCTGATTCATTAGAGGTATCAAGTTGTTCCTTGGCTTGGGCCATCTGAGTCATCAACCTGTCCATGTGGGACTGGATGTCTGCCAGTATCTCAGTCACATGAGCAGTGGCCATTGCTTCCTGGATGTCCACTAGATGAAGGGCCTTCTGCTCCTCATCAGCAATCACTTTCTGAACTTTCTTAAATTCCTGCTGTATAAACACCTTCATCTGGTCCCGGGTTACCTGCAGAACATAAACAAGTAAAAATAGTAAGTTGGACATACAAAGAATGGAAGGATAGAACTGTACTGTAAATGCTAGGCAGCCCTGGCCAAAATATAAACCAACCATGGTTCCTACATGGTCCTGAAATTTTGGGACTATCCTCTAAACAATGTTCCCATAATACTGTTGATGAATTTCTTAGTAATCCTTTTGCCTCTTTTAGTCTTTAGGAAGTAATTTCTTTTCCTCCTTCCCTTTTTGCTCTTCCTTTTGTTCACTTTTACACCAGCAATACCTGATTACTTTTTAACAATTTAATAGGTGAGTGTAAATTGTAAAAAATGAAATTCCCCTTCTCTCTCCATCTGAATACCATTTTTCTCTTTGGAGGGTAATTACTATTAACAGTTTGGTATGTATCCTTCCAGCCACCTTTCTATCTAGTTATACACATATACATACACAGACAATTATGTTGTTTTTATAAAAACGGGTCATAGTGAACATTAGGTTCTGGGTCTTGCTTTTCTATTTAAAATATGTTTGTACATACAGATCAACTTCATTATATTATTTTTAATGTCTGTATGATATGGATATATACAATGAATATTTATATATATAAATAAAAAGATAAACGTACCCATTAAATATTTCCCTTAATGGGAATACAGGATATTTCCAAATTTTTGCTATTACAAACAACACAGTAATGAACATCCTTGGATATATCTCTTAATATTCGCATATGAATTTTTTTTAGAGACTTTTAGAGTCACCAAGTCCATTTATTATATACTCTAAAAATACTGACTGATAAAGCCAAATTGCCCTCCAAAAAAGATGTACCAATTACATTCCCACAACAATGTGTGAAAGTAGGCATTTATTTATACCTTCACCAATATTAGATCATGCCAATCCTTAAAATGTTTATTCTCTGATGAGTAAAAATATATTTATATATTTATATATTGATTTATTTTATAGCAACCACTGAGCAGATCAAATAAAATATGGCTGCAGGATATATTTGGCTGGGGCATAAGGTAAACAAAGTGAGAAACTACCAAAATAAGAACTTCTAAACTCTGTATCTTACCAGTAACTATACTTACTGATGCTTCCTCACAACTATGTGTATTTTAGAAATATTTTCAAACAACTCTGCACGGTAACTATGGCAGGGAAAAGGGAAAAGGTAGAGCAGTGGACAGAAGGAGGAAGGAGAAAATAGCTGTCACCTAAGCGAATCCCTTTCTTTGCCAGATAAGGGAACAGCCGCAGCTGCAGGGCACCTGGAGAAGATGCTGGGGACACCAATCTTCCTGCTCCCAGTCTGGTGCTCTGTTCACTAGAACAGTCTCCAGGAAGGAAAGCCAAACTGGGAAAACCTAAAAAGGAGACTGAGGAAGAGAAAGTCTACAGAAGAGGGGAAGATGGGGCCATTTTTAATTAGCCTCTTAAAAACTGAAAGAGGCTTGATACTTTAAGCAGCTTTTGTAACACTGCCATAAGAACGTCCATACAAAATAAGGCCTGTAGGACAGTCTCTCTTCACACATCAAGTGACTAAGTGACATAAGCCCTCAGGAATTCATTATACTCTCTGCAGGTGCTCTCCCTGGTGCGCAGGAAAAGGGGAGGGGGAGTGTTAAATGTTGTTAATGTCCCTGCAAATTCTTTATCAGATTGAGAACTGTGATTTGTGCTTATTTATGTAATTCCTTTTTATTTTTAGTGTGTTTATTTCAAGGCTGTTATACTTTATGATGACCTTTTATAAATGGATCTCAAACTCTGAAATAAATTAGGTCTTATAAAGACCTAAGACCTTCTCTTAGAGACTAAACGTAGCAAATTTTAGCTAAGAGATGAACTTTTCTGAATGCCTGCAAAAATCTCTTTAATAGTTGCAAGTGACTAAAAATGGAGAACAAAATAAAAACTGACTCGCAACCTATTTCACTAACCCTCACATACACATGTGGTTCAGGTCAGAAGCTGACATCAGTCAGGAAAGGTGTGGCCAGACTGCAGTAGGTGACTAAATCATAGGGCTTAAAAAAAAAAAAAAAATCAAATTCTCTATTTCCCATTGTTTTACACAGATTTCTCAACCTTTATTTTGTACAGTTTATCTTATACAGATCAGGCCACAAATAAGAACTGAAGGCAGAATAATCTACTCTCTAAAACCTTTATCCTTTTCACCCCCGTTCTCTACTAATCAACAAAAAGATATTCTCCAACCTAGTTCAAAATGGTAAGAACAAATCTCTGGGTCATAGCTTCCATTCACATTCAGAGGCCAAAGGAGAGATTCCCTGGGGGACCTGGCATATAGTAGGTTGAGTACTCTGGAGAAAGGACTCTTACCAATGGCAGGAGTGAAACAGCTTTCAAAACTCCCTTTCAAGCTTCATTTCACCTCCCTGCCATCAAAACTCCATTCTGCTACAAACTTCATGGTTCTCCAAGAGCAGCAGACCCTTTCTGTCAGCCCCTGCTACCGGAGAGCCACTGACATCATTTCTGTGTAGGTTTCTTAGAATTTCTTCAGCCTCTATCCTACAGCTCCTGAAAGGTGAGAGTGACAGTCTGATACTCCTGACTGTATTACATACAGTGTCAGTAAAAAGAAAATTCTACATATGCAGAGAAGAGAAGCCTGGGTGTATCACAGAACAAGCTTTTTTAGAGGCACAGAACTTCACTTACCCTAAACAAAATCTTAATGTAGAACCCTAAATCATAACAGAACCAAAAGTAGAACTACTCTGGTTAAAAGAAAAATCTCCCCCTCCTCAAAGTAATTCCTAGGGCACTGGTAGTGGCCTCCAGCAAAATCTCCCCTGTGATACCTGGGTCCTCTACACAAATGAAACCCTAATAGGAGCTTCCTCCCTTTGGTCAACTGGCCCCTAAGTTGTTGAAACTTTAAAGTCCTAGGTTACAAGCCATTTGATATATCTTTGTTATCGTTGTATTAGGGTGAAAATCTGTATTACTTAAACATAGCATTTTACTAAAATTACTTAAACACAGCATTATAATTTGCAAAATTGGGTGGCTTATATGTGAACAGTCATAACTAGTGAAGATCTGACTGTTCTCATTAGAGCTGAGTCCAACTTCCTCAATTTATAGGTCACACACATACACACACATACATGTCAAGCTTAGAAACCAGCTTTCCTTTGGTCCAGTCCAGTATACTTTGTGCTACAATATATTGCCTGTTATAATCCCTTTCTGCCTGCTTCAGGTTCTTCAAACTTATTTCTTCTTAACTGAGATGTTTCCTTGGTCAACAGGCAGCTCTGTTATTATCCCCACTGAGATGTTATTCCCCTCCAAGTGAATCTTGGGATAAATGATACACATCTGAAGAGTTAAGTTTCATCCCATGCTACTTTCTATATGATCTTGTAGTTAATATTTCCATGCTAGGCTGAACCCAAGAGGCATACAGACTGGCACTTTACACATACATAATTAAACACATAAAACCTTGAATTAAGAGCTTATAGTTAAAAACAACACCATTCAATGTGCTTGACATGGGTTGCAAGCCATTAACTCCTAGTTAGCTGGCTTGTAGGAAACTAAGATTTTATTTAGTTTTCTATTATAGGCAAATTATTTAAAAAAAAAAAAAAAAGGCATACTAGTTAGAAAGCATCATAGCTTAAGAAAGATTTGTTCCAGAAAGGTGTTGCTGACATGAACTGAGAAAGATGGAACAGGGTCAGGAGCAGGAAGCTACACAAAAGAAAAACATTTGAGTCTACGTTGGTTGAAGAGTTCAGAAATACTTGTTCTACTAGCCAAATTCCTTGCAAGTAAGTTTAAAGGAGCCTACTCCAAAAACGATCTTAAAAAGTGTGAACTGTATGAAATAGTTTGTGAGGACTCTAAATACCTCCCCAAAAGGTCAAGAAGTCCACTTTTACTCCCCCTTTCCTCTTCTGAATGGCCACTATTCTAAAATAGAAAAAATAAAAAAGCAGGAAATGCAATTTTTTCAGATGCTACAAGCTGTCTTCACTCCCACCAGCACAGTGCCTTCCCAACATGCCAGTGTCCATGGAAACTTTCAGGTTGGGAATCTCAAAGTTAAGGCTTCTGCACAGCCTCCAGTATTTATTCTGGCATTTTGCTCCAAGACAGTGCTTTCCAAATCTCTATCAGGCTCCAGTGAGGGCAGGTGAGGGAAGAGATGAGGACAAAGTCCTTTTTCAGGATCTTTTGTGTATGAGAAGAATAGCCACTATTCGTGAATAAAACCAATGCTCATTCCTAAGGCTTGGAAAATTATCTACTATTAGCCTAGAAATACAGCAGATATGAACTATGAACTACATTCCATTACTAACATTCTGAGTGCGGTCAAATATTTTCCTGACAACCTGGTTAGAAGCCTCAGTTGCTTGGATTTTACAATGGGGGTACTGAGAAAAGAAAAGGTTATTAAAGTGACCATTTAATCTCTTCCTTAAACCAATTTTCTCATCTTCATCAGAAAATGCAGACAAAAGCAGTCGTGTATATCCTCTTTACCTCCTTTCATTACTCCACTGTGTAAATACAGCACCATGGGGTCTCTACCTCTGTATCCACCCAAAGAACTAATAATAGTTACTAATAATAACATTTACTGTTGCTGTTATTAATATTTCTATTACAAAAGACTGTAAGAAATACACCAAAATGATGGAGAGTGATTACTTCGGAGTGATGGGATTAAGAGTATTTTTTTTCCACTTTCAGTCCAAATTTTCTATAATAATGTGTAACACTTATTTTTTCTTGAACAGTAATTTTTAAAAATAAATGAAGCTTAAAAAAGTTAAATCCTCAATAAGATATTAGCTAATTGAACCCAACAATGTATAAAAAAATTATACAGCATGACCAAGCAGGATTTATCCCAGGCATGCAAGGCTGGTTCAACATTTGAAAATCAGTTCATATAACCTATCATGTCAACAGGCTAAAGAAGAAAAATCACATTA